AATACGGAGACCTCTTGACGCAAGCTACCAATGAGAAGACAACAGCTACAAGATTATGAAACACAACAACCACAAACTACTGCCGGTACGCCTCATAATTTCTATTTCTTGGTAACAATCTTGCCGAATTTACCGGAGACGGAGGGATTACTACACGTTACCTTGTATTCATTCACGGTAGTTTCTTAAAGTTTGCGCTGAACAATAGCTTTGAAAAAAAAGTAGCAGTTTTATAATAACTATGACCGCGTGAGAAATACCTTATACACATTATTTTCGTACATTCTTATGCTTCAACACCATTAAAATTGTAGCAAAATTGTAGCAAAGTTGACTGGCGTCAGACTCCATCGGCCCAGCACAGATCGCCCGGCAGGACGTAAAAATAAACATTTGGCACGCCGCCATCGCCGTTCCGAGCCGCGGTAGACTTCGGGGTCTCGCACCAAGTTTTTTCGCTACGCGGTACGCGGGACACGACAGGCCTCCCGAAAGAATACCGCGGGATATCCCGCAATCTCCCGCGTGATATCCCGCAAACTCCCGCGGGATATCCCGCAGTCTCCCGCGTGATATCCCGCAAACTCCCGCGGGATATCCCGCAAAATCCCGAATCCCGATGATGCTTATCCCGCGATCTTTACTGTAAGATGTTAATATGATGAATGTTATGATATGCTATGAAGTCATGTCAACTTTGTACATGTATGGCTGAAACTTCAAAATAATTACGATCATAAAATAGCTACAGTATTATAATTGTGTGTTTTAAGATAATAAAAGGAACAAAGCTTTAACAGTTCAGGTCCTTCTGATCAGCTGGCTGACTTGCATTATGAATGTGCCCTTCCCTTACAGCATCTACAACACATTGAGAACAAGATTCTGGAAAGGGTTGCCTGGAGAGAGGTTAGTACTACTTTTGAAAATAGTTTCATCAGGTTTGTAAAGTATAGGTTATGAGGGTTTTCTTTTATACAACCAAAATTCCTACCTTGCTTACGTTTTGCGTTCTCGCTGCAAAAGCACCACCTACATCGGTTACATATAGCGGTGAGAAGCAGAACTCCAGTCAGAAGCTCTGAAGAAGGTGTCTTTAGAAAGGCACAGACTTTACTTTTACTTCAATCTAAGCATTGATAATAACTGGTGAAAATAAGCACATGTTGTACATCAGCTTCCTCTTGGATGGTGCACTCCAAGAACATTAAGAACCCACCACAATTATTGAAAAGTAGGGTTCCATCCCAGTGTGAATGGATCAAACCTTAACAGTCTGTTCTTATGCAGCTTGTGCTTATACATTGTAGCTTGTGCTCATTGGTGTGTTTTACTCAAAGGCAGTTTAGTGGTTATGCAAAACAGAAACCATGACGGTCTCCCAGTCAGGAAAAAAATTACCAACAATTGCAATTAGCTCATTCTTTCAGCTGTATAATGGAAGGAACAGGATGAAATGTAGTTTTACAGGTTTTCTAGATCTCAAAGTTGGTAGGTTGTGTTGCTGGTAATGTTAACAACTAACGTCAGACATAGATTGAATCATTGAGTGAGTCCATTCAACACTACACAGTCATAGCTGTCATAGATGTTATGTTGCTGGTAGCAACTAAAACAGACTGCCAATTACATGTAGGAAGAAGGAAAAAGCCACTGATCAGCTATTCTGTCTTCCTGAAGAGCATATTAAGAGACAATAATGTACAAGAGTCAACACAATATTGCTCATTTCTGCATGTTATTGCCCATGGTGACAAACTAAACATAAACCCCTGTCACAAATTCAGAACCTTCCCCCAACCACCAACCAACCAAGGTTGGATGAAGTTTGGGAGCAGCCTGAACAAATTTAGGTCACAAATATTGTACCTTTTGATACAAATTATTGAAATCAAGTCTTAATTATAGGCAAATTTGACCCTGAACACACCTTGAACACTGCTGACCTCCCGAACACCAGCCAACTGCCAAACACTGAACCTTCCACCCACCCCAAACAAAATGTTTATAAAATTTTGAAAGTTTCTTCTGTCACAGCTAAACACCAGCAAACCACATGTACAGCCAACCTTGCTCCCAACCTACTCCTAAGTTAAACCATGTTTTGGGGGAGTTTGGCAGTGTTTGGGAGGCCATGTTCGGCTACATGTATGTGTGACAGGGGCTTTACATTGTACATGGTACTGAATGTCACTGAAGAATGGGTGCCCGGCATTTGATCATGATTCCATTATTTCTTGATTACACAATATTGTGTCAATCAAAAACAGATCAATCAGCAATGAATGAGCCACTGAGTACTTTGTTTCTGCAGCTAACGAATGATGATTCAAAGTCCTTTGCAATATAATTGTAAATTTCAAGATGGTAGATTGTGTTGCTGGTAACAACCAAAACAGACTGCCAATCAGCAAAGAAGGAGTGTAGGTGGAGGCCTTAGTATTTTATTGTTGGGTCATGAGCAATAATACGTCATGACTGTAGAAAGAGCAAATGTTACATTTCTTATTTAGGTCACACTGACTACATGGATAACATCCACACATACATCAATTTTCGTCCATTTCCTAAAAAATAGAAGGTTGCTAAATATATACATTTTGTACTGTAGATCCTACAAAGAAGCTGAATTTTTCTGTGTGTTCGTTTGTTTGTGCAACCTTCTTGATAACTTAGATTTTATGATGAAGGCAACTTATTTTCTTTTGCCCAACTTATATTTCCTCGCATGCTTGCATCAGTTTTGGGGTCCTTAGCTTAGGATGTCATCCATATATTAGTCAAATCAGTCTGGCCTCATGTGTAATTGGCAGCCTTGTCTTTAAGGTCCACCTTCAGTCTGTCTTCTGCCTTTTTCTGACCACCATCAACAATATTGTAGTCCAGGGCTTGTTGATTGTATCATTACAACCATCGTAGACTGTCAGAGTCTGTTTGTGCGTTTTTGACAGCAGCTCTGGTCTGTTTGAATTCAGTACAATGTAGTACTGTTGACCTGTTTAATAGGGCACTCTTGTGTCCTGTGGCACCTGAAGTTTAGCATTTTATCCTACAGCCAACGGAAGAAAACTTGCCCCTCGCGATTAACAAGATGATGGCGTTTGAATCTGGACTAACCGTTGCCTATTTGCTGTTGGGACTTATTATCATCATCGTGAATGTTGCCGTACTCTGGGGAATCATCAGAACACAAGAACTGCACAAGGCGCACTACTTCTACATGGCTAACGTGGCCTCGTCAGACATTCTAACAGGTGTCGGACTTCTGTATCAAGCTTTTGATCTGTATCTCTATCGAGTTGCGGAGCTGAACAAACCGGACAACACAATGAACAGTAGGACAGTACTGCAGTATAGTCAGGTGATGTCTGCGTCAGCTCTAGCCCTGCTGTCTGTAAACTCCTACGTTGCCGTAAGGCATCCTATATTCTTCCGAACTCATTCCAGCAATGCCAAACGTAACGCTGTCGTAGCTATTGTATCCTCATGGCTTGTTCTGTCCTTATTTGTTTTGTCACCTACCATGGGCTGGAATTGTCTGGACATGCCCGTGTGAAGTTCTATCATCCTGCATATTTTGGTCTTTTAGCCACTGTTATCATATTTCTGGCTGTTGTGATGTTATTTGCATGCATTAGTGTGTTCTTGGCTATAAAACAACGACAGTCCAGAGGGTTTGGGCAGGTTGGGGGAGCTGTGTCAGTCCAACACAACAACCAGGGACAACATGGGGCAGGGCAAAACCAGCCGCACAATTCTGCACAAGATGAGGAACGGAGAAAGTTCAGGAAAAGTGTACACAAGGCACGGACAGTTATGATTCACGTGGTGGTAGCCTTTGTCTTTTGGCTGTTTCCTATCGTGCTCCTCTTTATTTGCACGAAGGTGGAAATGTGCTTGGTTGGTTTGTGGCCGTATCTGATAGCTTTGGTGATGACGTTGAACTCGCTCATCAACCCAGTCTCCAGTATTGTCCGCACTCCTGAGTTGAGAAAGGGAATCTGGCAGAGCATTACGGCTATTCCTCAAGCTTTCATTGCTGTGACACGGAGGAACGATGTAGATCCACAGGCAGGGTAGACTGGAAAATGCCTCAAACCAGCCAGGGAATTCTGCAGGTGTAAGTGAACAAAATGTTCCCTTGGGAGAGTCCACCACAGTTAACAACGTAACAGTCAGACAGGGCGGGGTAAGTACAAGAATGGCTTCACCCAAACCAAAGAGTTCAGATCTTCCCATGGTAGATGTAAGCTAAAACACCATGAAAATACATGTTCATTTATGACAGAGAGCAATTGGGTCATCATCATAGTACTACTAGTATGGCAAGCACTCTCTTACTCTTTTGTATGATATTGTCTAACTTGATTACTTCTGGGTATGGAAGTATGGTGGCTGAGGTATGGGTTTGTGTAATGTTTTTTCTGGACAAAGTACATGTAGGTTGACAGCATGTGGGTAGGGGAAAGATTGACACGTCAGGCAGAATGATGGGGGGTCAAAGGTCTTTATGCCACAAGCCACTGGCAGCATTGTGGTGGACATTGGAGGAGAGCTGGTAACATCACTACTATCACTAACAGACTGCCAATCACCATACCTGTCCAGTAGATCATTGAGTAGCTCATTTTTGCAGCTCATGAAGAGCATGAATGGCCAATTCATTAGTCCATTCAATCTTACAATGTCTGGCTTAATTGATGGTAGGATGTGCAACGACCAAAACAGACTGCCAATCAGGAAGAAATGAGCCATTGAACAGTTTTTTTTTTTCTTTTTGATGAAGTGTACATCAGAGAGAAGTCTGTACAATAATGCTAATGTCTGGCTCTTCAACATGCCCACCTATATATGGTGATAACCAAGACAGACTCTCCATTAGTGAAGAATGGATCATTGACTAGTTTACCAGTACAATGTATGTGCGCTACAAAATTTTCCTCAAGAAAATTCTCTGTGTATTCCTTTAACATCTCTGTGGTAACATAAGTGGCCACATTGTTACCTCATTAGCGATAGGCTATCTTGTGTAACTAAAAGGAGGTATATATATAGTTAATTACATTTATTGTATAACAAGTGCCTAGCTAGCTTGTGCAACAAAAAAAGCGTGTATACGTAACACACTGCTCGCTCACATATAATTAGCAGCCTTGTCAGTTAGGTTCAGTCTCCTGCCACCATCGACAACCTCGACATACATAGCCCAGAGATTGCACCGTCTAACTAGGTCTGTCAGGATCCAGTTTGTCTTTGTTTGACAACTGCCCTGTCCAGCTGCTGGTTACTGGGGATTCATCAGTGTTGATAAATCGCTCCTCTGCATATCCATAGCCAGGTGACCATTCTCTATACGGACTGACTGTAGAGACTGTTTTGGCCCCAGCCCTGGTTTGTTGGCAAAGGGCCTTCGCTTTACTACGTTAGGCCTGGCAGACGAAGGCTTTCTTACTTGCTCCCGGTGTGGAACCTGAATACAACCCCTAACGAGAAACTCCAAGCGTGCACTGGGCAGAAGGCTGGGCAGAAGGGCACAAGAGATTGAGCCAAGCTCCTTCTACATCCAAGACAAAGAAGCCCACCCCATCTACGACAACACCATGGAGTTGGGAATAGTGCTAACCATCACCTGGTGGGCCACAGGACTCGTCATCATCAGCCTTAACCTGGCCGTGCTCTGGGGAATCTTTCGATCGCAGAAGCTCCGCACGGCTCACGACATCTTCATGGCGAACGTGGCGACGTCCGACCTCCTAACCGGCATCGGAGTCCTGTATCGAGTAGAAAGCCAGGCGGAAGAGGACAAAGTGGACAGTAGGAAGATTAGTTCGACTGTTCTGATGTATAGTCAAGTGATGTGTGCAGCAGCTCTAGCATTGATGTCACTAAACTCGTACATTGCTGTCAGGTACCCCATCTTCTTCCAGAGTCATATTCACCATGCCAAACGTAATGCAGTTCTAGCTGTTATATCTCCATGGCTTGTTCTGTCCTTATTTGTTTTCTCTCCTAGTATGGGTTGGAACTGTATAGATACGCCCGCACCAGGCTGCACTAGCTTTTTCTACCCTGCATACTTTGGTATTTTAGGCACTGTTATTCTCTTCCTAGCCGGTATTATGTTGTTCTGTACCATCAGTTTATTTGTTATCATAAAACGGCGAGAAAAAAGAAGGCTTGAGCTTCAACACAACAGTTCAGGGCAAAATCAGCCTCACAACAAAGCGGCACAGCGACAGTACAAAGAAAGGGTGTACAAGGCAGGTACGGTTATGATTCACGTGGTGGTAGCCTTTGTCTTTTGGCTCTTTCCTATTGCGTTCTCGTTTGTTTGCCTGAGTGTGCACGAATGTGCTGCTTCAATCTGGCTGTTGATGCTATTTCTTGTGATGACGTGGAATTCAGCCATCAACCCGGTAGCAAGTATCGTACGCATGCCGGAGTTGAGGAAAGGACTCTGGCAGAGCGTTATGGCTATCCCTGGAGCTTTTGTTGCCATGAGAGGGGGTAACAATGTAGATGCAAAAGATGGACCGGGAAACGCCTCACAAAAAAGTGTCACTGATAGAATTGACCAAAACATACTGGAGCCAGAGTCCACCACAGTTTACAGTGTAACAGTCAGACAGGGCGGGGTAAGTCCAAGAATGGCTTCACCCAAACCAAAGAGCTCAAATCTTCCCATGGTAGTGGACTGATGTCACCATTGCTTTGTGCAGTGAAGGCCCCAAAATGGGAGCAGAACTTGAATTCCCTTGTTAATATCTCTGGAAATCCTTTTTTTTTCTTGAAAATTTTGGTCCAGTTTGGATACTTTCCAGTTCAAAGAAACAGGTAGGGTCTAAACTTTGCTACATTGGTTTGTTTATTAAATTTTCACCAGTTTATTTGATAATGACAGATCTGAGTGGTTAGGTCTTGCATGGGCAGAGCAAATGAGGTCAAAGGTAGGGTTTGTTTCCTGTTCTTGGAGTTTAAGCTGGTTTAATAAAAATTATTACAAATATAAAAATTGAATGTATATTTGGGAGCCAGTCCCTTGTGACTCTCTGCTGCCTAAGCATTGCTAAGATTGATATTTTGGAAAGTACTAAATTAATCAATTAAGGAGACCTGGTTTCGGTGTACTTAGAAATCCTTTTTTTTTTCTTGAAAATTTTGGTCCAGTTCGGATACTATTTGGCTAGAAGGAACAGGTAGGGTCTAAACTTTCCTTCTAGCTTTCTTTGGTCACGTTTTGTTTTATTTCTGATGAAGTGGGCATAATGACAGGTCTGAGTGTCTTTCTGTTTCTATTCTCCTAATTCTTACACTTGCAGAGTAGATGGATACAGGGTTTGTTAACTGTTGTCAGAGTTTAAGTCTGACTCATGATCAGTCAACCCACTTTTTTCTTTGCATATTTGAGAAGCAGGTCCTTGTGACTTTCTGGTGCAGAAGAATTTTTGAGACTGAAATATTCAATTTGAAAATAATTTGATGAGGCTTAATGTTTCAGTGCATTTACATGTAACTAATGAGCCTGTACATAGCCTTCAATGTCCAAACATATTAACAGTGTATTACCCTAACCCAACCATGTTAAAGAAAAACAGGAAAACATTTAAGGACAGAAACAATGTCATGTATAGGGCTATTCTATCTGGCATGAGAGGACGCGCGTCGTATGTGCTCCGTATGTAATTGAACTTCAAGAGCGGTTGCTCGTGTTATATTGAGTGCGTATACAGCTTATATTGTTTATAATACTCGGTTCATATACTCAGTTTGATTTTAATCTGTGAGTTCAACATGGAACGTGAAAAAGACGGAGGAGAAAGTGAATCCGTGCCGGTGACAACAAAGAAGTACAGGACCAGATCTGGGAACTCCACCAAGCCGTGGAATACACCAGCGAAGAACATCCGTGAGTTCGAAGTACTTTCCGAAGACTACGCAGACAGTGACAGAACGAAGGTATGTAACCTCAAGTGTCGCACCTCATCGGATCGCATTCCTTTGTGGATAAACGCCACTAAAGCCTACCTAGACGAAGAGCTTGAAAAACAAACAGGATACAAGTTCACCTGGAAAGACAAGAACTGTCAGCTCATTATCACAGATCCTACAAAGTCCGGAGAAAGCATTAAGGTAGTGAACATTCACTTCTACAAGTCGGGAACAATCCTGGTACACGGCAAGGGTTCAAAATGGTACGCCGAGAACATTTTCCCAAAAGTGAAAGTCACGGTTAATAACCCAGCAAGCTCATCCCAGAATCAAGATGGCGGACAAACTGCTGATCAATTGACACTGAATGAAGTCGAAACAAAAGACAACAACTCAGAGACAATAGAGGACCTCTCAGACCATGGCAAGTCCGCCATGATGGCGTCTGACACTGAACTCGACCAGACCACGCCAACTAAATCTGGTGCCACAGACTTGACTTCAGAGAAAGAGAATAGAACGGAATATACTACTCCAAAGTCTGTTACATCTCCGTCTATCCGCAAAGTGTTCGGAGGTCTTGAGAATATCATCTTGAGTCCCTTCACAAAGATGAGAGAATCTACCGGAAAAAGCAGAGAAGAGAAGTCACGACAGACAAACCGATCGCGACGCGATATTCTTGCCGACAACTCCCTCCCCGAAAAGAGTGCTGATTCCAATAGTGAAACTTTGTACACTACTTTGGTGGACGAACTGAATGAACTGAAAACTCTAGTTTTCAATAACAAAGTAGCGATGGACAAGCAGGGGCAGCAAGTCGCCGATCTACAAGCTAATGTCCAAAATAAAACGAAGAAGATCGAGAAACAGGCCAAGCAGATCGAAAATCTGATGACCGAACTCCAACACCAGCGTGAATTCTCTAAAGACTTATCAGACAAACTCTCTTCGAAGTGTGCATGTGTCTGTGCTACTCGGGGAGATGAACGGAGAATTCAACGGCTATATTCAGAAATCGTAAGCTCAGCAGCTCAGAACGACACCTATGCGCCCGACACACAGACATCAGCAACCCCCGACAAACAGGGCGGTGCTGTGTCCGACATGAAGACTCCGGAAGCCCCCCGTGACAAACAGACCCCGGCAGCCTCCCGCTCTCAGGCCCCAGTGCCCACCGGTACAGACACACGGATCCAGGCAGTCTCCGGTACACAGGAACCGGCAAGCCCGGCAATACAGGCTCCGACAGACCCCGGCAAGCAGCCCCCGGCTCCGACAGACTCCGGCAAGCAGCCCCCGGCAACCTCCAGTCCCGACTCACGCGCCCAGGCAGTCCCCTGTACACAGTCCCCGACAACTCACGACACACGGGGCCCGACAAACCCCGGCGCACAGGCTACGACAACCCCAGGCACACAGGCCTCGGTAACCTATCCAGCACAGAAAGAGAAGAAACAAATCAGAATCTTTGCCGACTCGCTTTGGAATGGCGTTGATACAAACAGAATGTTTAAGAACAAAAGTTCGAGCATCGTCAAGTCCAGCACAGTAAGAAAAGCCTCTGAGAATGTCAACTCGTCCCCTGACAACACGACGGAGCTGGTCATCTTACATGTCGGCTCAAACGACATGGACAACACAAGAGCACGATCAGACAGTGTGAACATTTGCATAGAGGAAACTCGCAAATTGATCAACAATGCAAAAACATCATTCCCAAATGCAACAATAGCAATGTCTCAAGTCCTCCCAAGAGGGTTGCATATGGATTCCACACTCAACAAGAACATTGCCATGTACAACGACAACGTCGAGAAACTATGTCTGGAAGATGACCGATTATTCTACATCAGGCATCGGCTGTTGTCACAGGAACGGTCGCTGTACAAACCAGACAGGATCCACATCACCCCTGACGCTGGCGTGAGTCTGTTAGTGGCTGACGTGAAGCGAACGCTGCGCCATCACCAGCAGTCCGTCGCAGACAGGAGCAGACAACACTCGGGCCACAGCGGGCAGCAGACGAGACCACCCAGGAAAACATCGAGGGAAAACACTGTGACCTACATGCAGTCCGGACGGTACGCTCCCCCGAGCCGCTTCTCACAAGCCCAGCGGAATCCGGCACCGTTACTCCCGTGGAACCAGTCACCCCCAGCTCCTCAGCGAAGATCCAACTGGAACGAACGGCAAGGGTCGAGATGGAGTGAGGCACAGGACAAGCGCCAGGCAATAGAAACGCTGATGAACATGATGAAAGACTTCCTTAGTCATTGAACGGACACTTGAAGTTGAAAGAGGTTACGGAGGTAACGTTTTCATCTCTTATATGTATACAACATAATAGTGCCTAAATGATTAACCGTAAACTACCCTGTCTATATTAGTATAATTCATACAGGTACCTGTAGGTGTGATACATTTTATATGAATATTTGATTAAGCTGTATCAACTCACTTGACATGTAGCTAAGCTCGATTTATCTAGTTTTATTCTATTTCTGAGCTAAAATGTTAGCCGAAAAGGTTGCTCTAAAATTCTGTTCTTGGAACATTCAGGGAGGCCTTAGGCGTAAAAGCCATGATGATGAGTTTGTTTCCCACTTAGCTGAATTTGATTTTGCTTGCTTACAAGAAACCTGGCTTAAACCGGGGGATAGTTTTAGTATAGATTCTTTTAGTTTCTTTAGGAGTGATAGAAGTATGAAGAAAACGTCCAGAAGAAATTCTGGAGGCGTAGTTATTCTGTTTCGGAACAAATTCTCAAAAGGTATCATCAAACTCCCTACTAGGCACCCAGATTTTCTCTGGTGTAAATTAGACAGAATATTCTTTGGCCTACAACGAGATTTGTTTGTCGGATGTGTCTACTTATCTCCCCAAAACTCAACTTCTTTCGAAACGGAAAGCAACCCTGTTTTTGACATGTTACAAGAAGATATTTCAAAATTTGCAAATCAAGGAGACATACTGCTCTTAGGAGATTTGAATGCTAGAATAGCTTCTATACAAGAGTCTGTTATTCAGGATGACTGTTTAAGCCATGATTTTTTAGATATTCAAGAAGACATACCGCGCAGGTCAAGCTGCGACAAAGGCACGAACAGACACGGTAATCAACTCTTAGATCTCTGCTCGGCGGCCAACCTCATAATTCTAAATGGACGGGTACCAGGTGATCTATCAGGAAAACTCACATGTCACAAGTACAACGGATCGAGCCTGGTAGATTATTACATCGTAAATTCAGAATTCTTCCCCAAAGTCCAATATCTTAAAGTAAATGACATATCCGTATTTTCCGATCATTGCTCATTATCATGTTCGATAGCCACTAACTACTCACCTTTTATAAAAGAAGCTAAAACTCCAACACACCCGTTACCAACAAAATATGTTTGGGATGAAAATTCTAAAGTCAAATTTACAGAGGCACTTCAGAACCCTTCAATATTACAAAACTTACGGAACTTTACGGATAAGCCCTTCTGTAATGTCGACACAGCGGTAAAAGAATTTTCTGACATAATCACCCAAGTAGCTGATAGGTCACTTCGCAAAATTACCCACAATAAGAGCAAGAAAAAGAAAAAAGTGAAAAGTAAACCATGGTTTAATCCTACATGTGCTTCCCTTAAATATAAAGTTAGACAATTAGCCGCACAGTTATCTAAATGTCCATGGAAACATGACATTCGCAACTCATATTACTGTAATCTAAAATTGTACAAAAAGAAAATTAAGACAGAAAAAAGACTTTTTAAAGAAAAACAATGGCAAAATCTCAGAAAACTTAGCAAGGAAAACCCACAAAAATTTTGGAGAGAGATTAAATCCCTTAGGCAAGAAGACAATGATAATCAAAAGGAAGATAATGCCATTGATCCGGAAGAATGGAGAACTCACTTTAAAACTCTTAATGATCTTGTAGATAGCGACGAACCCCATGACGACTTTCTACAACATGCTGCTCAACAATGGCCTGATAAGGTACACATATCAACAACTAACATCACATCAGATACAGGATCTAAGAAATGCAACGACATCATTAGCACACTACAAAACTCAGTAGAAAATCCACTTGACTTCGATGTCTCAGAAATAGAAATTCTAGATGGTCTCCGTAACCTAAAAGCGAACAAAGCATGCGGCACAGATTCAATTGGCAATGAAATGTTAAAATGTGGCGATAAACAATTCACACAACCTTTAAAGAAACTTTTCAACACTGTCCTTCAATCAGGGAACTTCCCCCGCCAATGGAGTCAGAGTATATTAGTTCCGATTTTCAAAAGTGGTACCCCAACAAACCCGTCAAATTATAGAGGAATCGCTATATCTAGTTGTGTTGGAAAACTATTTACATTTATACTAAACAAACGACTCCAACGCTTTCTTGAAGATAACAATATATTGTCTGCATTCCAATCCGGTTTTCGAAAGAATTTCCGCACAAGTGACAATGTCTTCGTGCTTAAAACTATCATCGACCAACAAATTTCTACACCGGGCGGTAAATTATACGCCTGTTTCGTGGATTTCAAGAAAGCGTTTGATTCAGTGTGGCGAAACGGGTTATTTTACAAATTATTATCATCAGGGGTAGGGGGGAACTTCTTCAGACTTATTCAGACAATGTACTCTAATATAGAATATTGTGTCAAAACTTCAAACGGTTTATCAGCATACTTCAAGTCAACCTGCGGAGTCCGCCAGGGGTGCAATTTAAGCCCGCTCCTGTTTAATCTATACTTAAATGACTTCCCAACATTACTAAATTCACCTTTATGTGATCCTGTCATGCTAAAAGATATTTATATTAACAGCCTTTTCTGGGCCGATGATTTAGTACTCATATCGAAGTCAGAAAAAGGCCTCAAGGAATGCTTAAAAAGATTGGACAACTTCTGTTCAACTTGGAAACTGACAATTAATAGGGATAAAACTAAAGTTATGATTTTCTCAAAAAATGGACAAGCTAGTAAAAATCGCCACTCCCCTTTTCAAACACAGGGCCACACAATAGATATAACATCCTCCTACACATATCTAGGAGTCGACTTAACCCCCTCAGGAACTTTCAAACATGCCAACAAAAAGTTTAGAACTAAAGCTCTCCGGGCCTCTTTCAAACTCAAATCATTATTATCATCCAATCACAACCCGTCTATCACTCTTGCACTAGAACTCTTTAATAGTCTGGTTAAACCAATCTTACTCTACTGTGGGGAAGTGTTGGGCTCTAATATTCAATCTAGGGACTTAGTTTTTAAAGGAATAGTAGAATCTCCAAATGAAAATTTACGTGATATATTATCTAATATTCTATACCCGATAATAGGATCACAAATAAATATCCTCAAGACAAACCGTATGGGGAAGAAAACTGACCATCCACCCAACCGCCCTATACTCGTCCGTCTTAAGAAATACAGTGATAAACAAAACATTATACAAAATTCAAACCAAATAGCAAGCCAAAACATATTTATAGAACAACCCTCAGTTTCATACGAAGTTCCAGATTTAGAACATGTTCTCTTAAACTATTATAAAATACTGCTCCGTGTTCCCAGAAGCTCCGTCAATGCCGCCGTAAGGGGAGAATTAGGAGCGTTTCCATTATACATTGATACACAAACCCACCTTATTAAATACTGGCTCCGACTACACAACCTCCCTAACGATAGAATAGTTAAGAAAGCTTACGATATTGCTGTGGAACAAGAACACGACTGGGCCGTTCATGTGCAAGACATGTTATGTAAACACGGTTTCCAAAATGTTTGGCTAAACCCAGTAGTTAACGCCAAACATTTTGGAAACGTGTTCAAAGAACGGCTCAAAGACACGTTTGTTTCTGGCTGGAGGCAAAATATCAGAAATTACAGCAAACTGAAAACCTACTCCAAAGTCAAATCTGACTTCGTTTTTGAGAAATATCTTTCACTAATACAAAACAAATCTTTCGCCGCTAATATAACCAAAATACGAATTAGTTCACACTGTTTAGAAATAGAAAAGGGACGCCATAACAATGTACCAGCCACCCACAGATGTTGTCCTATTTGCAAAGATATTGTAGAAGATGAATTGCATTTTATGTTAACATGTCCAGCTTACAATGAAGAAAGACAAACACTTATGAACTCTATCGCCAACAACACAAGTATTACATTACCTAAGACAGTCTCAGATACCTTTACTTTTCTAATGTCATGCCCCGATGCAATCTCACCATATATAGGCCAATATATTTCTAACGCCTTAGTTAAAAGAAACAATGTCATTTCCGAAACAGTCAACTGATTGCTTACACATAACAATGGAATCAACTATATATATATATATATATCCATTATACTAGTAATACTTAAGTATAGGACAGAGTAGTATTTAGTTGTAGATTTACAGAACCCCTGTATAATGTTTGCCATTCCTTTTGTATACTAGTACGATGTAACTTAAGTTCGATTCATATACAGCATGAATGTAGTACTCTTTTACGCATTAGTTTAGATTTTAGATTTGTACTTAGTACCCCTAATTGCCATACGATGTATCCGTACATTAGTTGTGCAATAAACTTTGACTTGACTTGACTTGTATGTAAATATTTGCTAATGCATGACAAGGACATTGTATATTCTATAAGGTACATTCTATGTAAATGGGAAATGGATTGTAACCAAAGAATGACTTTGGCTTAACTGTAGATTTTGAAACTGTGCCAGATGAAAGTATAGTCGATAACATTTACAATGTATTACTACATTATATATTAAGTAGATTTAATTTAATATATTAAGTATTGCATAAATTTTTTAACCTTGTTCATTGTCAATGTGTGACATATACATGTACTTGTTAGAGTACAACATAGTAGTACTGTTACTGTACAGTAGTCACATGTATATGTAGCTTTATTTTATATCATGTCCTGTGGACATAAAAATCTACTATATTGTATACTCTGGAAATTTGGCTAGCCAATGTCAAGGTCAATGACCTTTAGAACAAAGTGTTGAAGGCTCTTTAACATGTTAGACATGGGACTGTCAGCTCAATGTATTATTAGAGAACTGGAATCTTTGCTAGTTCATGTAGAAAGTGTGAAAATTGGGGTTCAAAACAACATGCAACAGCTTGGATGGGATTCAAACCCCCAACCATGTGGTTCAGAAGCAGGATCACGAACCACTGTGCCATCCCATTGCAGGCTATGCCCTAACACTGGACGCAGGTACTAATTACTAAATACTAACCCTAGTATTAGTTTACCACCACTACAAGACCATCTATTTATTGTTCTGGGTGGCTGAGCTTTATTAAGAGACACACAATACCAGTAGGTTGACAGCACATGAGTGGGAGGAAAGATTGACAGGCAGAATAATATTACAGGAAGTCAAAGGTCGCACAGAATCTGACCCGAAGCCATCAGGATTTAGAGGTCACCATGGGGGAATTCAGGAAGCTGAAAATTGCATACTCACCAGAAATCTGAAATCTCTGATATCTAAATTAATGGTTTGGATGTACATTATTTTATATCATACTTGGGCCGCGATAATGTTCGATAACGGGTTCTGGACCGGGCCGTACTTACGGTAAGGCCCAGGCTCCATGGCTTTCATAGAACAATTTGACACGTTTTGCCCAAACTGCATGCGCCGCTTTCGAAAATTCGAACACAGAATCCGGACGTTGGAATTGATGTTGTTGCATTTTAGGGTTTAGTGGCACCAACTTTTGGCTCATCTTGCATTGAAAGGCGCATTTCCTTCGGCCGTCGGGCGATCCGACCCACGGTCGGGCCGATACCTCGGGCGATACGTAATACCCCGTGTTGTATTCTATATGTATTATGATTGCTTTTATCATGTGTTGGGATATTCCTGTTCCAGGGTTCACCGCTGTATGAAGCCATTTTGACCTCCGAGATGCCGCGGCCATCTTTCCAGACCTCACCAGGGTCAAGGGTCACCAATGGCAGCATTCCCCACAGTTCCACTGCTTCAGAAATGTAAGTTCCAACTTCAATGTAAAAATATACTTTGACAAGCTAGCAGCGTGTTTGATAAATTTCTACAGTAAGTTGTCACACAATCACACAAGTTCCCACAATCAATCCATTTTATCTGACACTGACACAGTGTTCTAGCCAGCCAGAAATTTTTTCTGTCACCTCCATTTTGTTTGGCATAATGTCATGTCAAGTGGCTAATGTCACTGTCACAGTGACAAAACTAGGGGGGTCTTCATGCTCCCTGAAGAAAATTTAGAAATTTTGACCCTCTGAAATGCTATTTCCTTCATTTTGAAGGGCAAATTTTGCTGGTGTACTACCGGTAAGCTGAGTTTAATGACATCTCTTTCCATAACTTTATACGCTAATTTTTGTCTATCAAAGATGTGGGCAAACTTTTTATCCTTCAAGTTCCGTTTAAGAAATAAGACGGAAAGACAGAAGCTTTCTAGAACACTGCATTGACACAAGGCTGCTTTTGAACCCGACTTAGGAAAAAAAATCAACAGTTTTCATTACAAAAGTCTCAACAATCTATTTTATCTGACATTGACACAAGACCGTGTTTGAACCCGTCAGGTACCTGTCTCCCACGCGGTTCTCGGCAGCCCAACAGTCGCCGTATCGCTCTCCGAGCAGCGCCTCCTCCAGACTGCACTGCAGAAGTCCAGGTCCGCACAGACGCAAGTCTCAGTCTCTACAACTCTTCTACAACAAGGGTGAGGAAGATAATGTTCACTTTTAATTTGGTTTAAAGCATCCAGTGCAATTTCTGGATGGCAAAACTGGTTATTCTTTTGATGTTACAGTAGTAAGTTGAATCAATCCTGTCCCAAAGCCATATACATGACTGTACATGTACATACTGATATCTGTTAAGAAAAAATGTCATGTCGCTGCCAGAAAAAGGCTGCTCTTACAAAAGGTAAGTTGAAGTTTGTTTGTTTTTTATTTATTTGTTGAAGTTTTTTTTTTTAAATTTTGGTATTTTTCTATTCACAACATTGTGACCTGCCAGTTACCAAATGAGAGTAAATTTTACAGATGCCTAAAGGTGAGTGGTTGTTGACAAAGCAAAATTGTATTCTCCTATGCTCCAGTGTGTAAGCTAGCCTACATGCGGCTGCAGTCCCTCTGCAAACTGCTATGTGTCTCTGCTGAGATGGAGCATCGCATCTGGACAGCACTGGAGTTCTGCCTGCTGCACAGACCAGAGCTCCTGAAAAACAGGCATCTGGATCAGGTAGGCAGGAGAAGAAACAACCTGCTAGATTAATCTTCTGGATATTCTGTTGAGATTAATTCTTACAAAATGATTAGACTCAAGTTAAAGGCATGTAGTAGAATTTCAGGGCAGCAAATCTGGATTTTTAAGTAAATTTTCTAGTCATTCTTCTAATGTAAAACGTTAGCATCTGTGAGGCAAAAATTCCATGTCTCTGACAGAAAACAGTTGCTTGTTTCAAAGACAATCAAACTCTACTACTGGATGAATTACAGATTACTGGATAAATTACAGATTCTGGACTAATTTCTGTAATTTATTTTTGAGTTTGAATCGTCTTTTGATTACCTGGATATCTGATATTCATTAAACATGTTACTTGTTTTGTAGGCTGGTTCTAGCTGTAATTAATGGATGGTACCTACAAAAATAGACTCCTCATATAACTTGTCATCAATGTCTTCCATGTTCTCTTGTTCCATTGTGTCCACTGACATCCACGACCCATCTCTGCAAGGTCCCTGGTGATGTTGTTTCCAGTTTATCCTGAATGAGTCTATCCCTGTTCCAGATCGTCATGTGTTCAGTGTACGCCATCTGTAAGGTCAGTGGGTGTGACACCAAGTTCAAGTCTATTGTTGCAGCCTACAAGAACCTCCCCACAGCCTCGCAGACCGTGAGTACCGTAATTTCATGTCTTCAGATGAAAAAGAAGTTTTTGTCATGTTTTTTTTCTAATTTGAAGCCCAAACAATACTGTAGCACAAAAAGTTTACCCAATTGTCCAAACACAGATCAAACTCTACTACAAGTCAGGATAGAATATGGAAATAACTTCCAGACGTTTTGAGTGACACCCGTCGCTCGTCTTCAATCAGTGTCACTTGAATGAAAAGCGGCTTACATGCACATGCCAATTTTAGCTTTCATGAATAAAGAATGGTTCAAACATACTGAGAGAACAAGTTGACACTAACCACATTCAAGGAACTGGACAAAACAGTTGAACATGACAGACTTCTTAGTGTCATTGTTATGTATTACTAAATGAGAATAAGGTAGTTTATGGTAATAGTACAACACCATAGGAACTGCTACAGTCCCTTGGATGGTGGCAGGGTTGGGTCCATGTACTAGAGAGTTCTACACACAGGCATCTCCTCCAGTTCAGAGTGGGGTTGTAGATGCATTCATAGATAGTTTCCTTAACTCCATGCTCGTACCACCGTCAAGAATGTCTAAACTCATTAGAAATGTTAATTTGCTTGACAGTTATTACAGTGTCAAGTAGCAAAATGTTACTGTGCTGAAATAAAAAAGAAAGATTGTCCTTGAATGTGAACTGTCTGTCTGTGCAGGTGTATAAGGAGGCGTGGATCTCAGGTGAGGAGTATGATTCTATCATCGGGTTCTACAACAGAGTCTACATGCAGACACTCAAGAACTACATCCTCAGGTTCACCTCTCCAGATGTGGTGAGTCTAAATTTATCTCATCCGTGCTTTTATCATATCCTTGAAGGAGACTGCTAATTAAAAATATAATATCGAAACCTGTTAATTGTTAATAATAAGTGATTCTTCAAATTGACATAAAAGTTACATGGATTGTAGAAAATATATGACATTGCATAATTATAAGTATTTTTGCAACATGGACGGTATTCTTTAGTAGCTATGGGTTTTTACGGCTACGTAGAAGATTGTAATAGACTGTTATTTGTTAAGCATAATTTTTAACGTACTGATGATGGGCTGGTGGTTAGGCTAGCAGACAAGAGATGGAGAGGGCATGGGTTCATTTCCCTGCATTGTTGGCTAGACATTGTGTCCATGGGAAAGGCACGACTTTTCTCATTCCACCCAGATGTAAAATGGGTACCTGACTTTGGTTGGTGAGGTACAATGTAATAGGTGGTGGGAGACTCAGAGGGATGGGCTCCCCTTCCAACATCATACCTAAGATGCAGTGGCTTAACATAAACCTACTTCTCCTACTGCTTTTAACCTAAGTTGATCTTGTTTGTCATGTTGTTTGTCCCTGATGTCCAGATGCCACAGCTGTCCCCCCTGCCTTGTAAGAGCCCCTCCAGGTTCTCCCAGTCTCCTGTCATCACGTGAGTTACAAACAAAGTTACTTGATTGTGTAATTCTACAAGGTAAAACTTGTAAAACTACAAAAGAAGTAATTACCTGTACAGCATATTGGTACATGTACATTTGTAGTTGCAGACAGTGATAACGTTTACTGTAGCTGTTTTCTTTGTGAGCATACAATCATGTACATTAATGCTTTTCCCTTTGAATTTGGAAAGACATTGCAAATTTGTAAAATCTCTTAACTACATGTACTAGGTAGAAGTTATGACAAATTAAGTGTGAACAAATTATAGAGAAAAATAGCTCCTTTTGATTGCCACTTGTAAACTGTATGATCAGTTCATTTAGCAACAAGCTGAAATATACCAGGTCCTGTATGGCTTCAAGGCCTCCATTGTAATGCTGTTTCTGGATGGTAAAACAAAAAAAATTAACATTCTAGATGAGGAAATCTGTTACGAGTAGTTGAATAAACACTGTTGTTCCTGTGTCCCAGTGTGCCAGGCAGGAGTAACTTCTACATCTCCCCCTTGAGGGAGTCTCCCTTCAGCAGCCCTGTACGCAGGGAACTACTGTCTCCTGGACAGATGACACCACGGTAGGTAATTTTGTATTTCTTATTTATTGAAAATGAAACAACTCAATCATTACTCTGGGTCAGTCAAGGCAGCTTACATTGTACGCTAGTAACAGCTGACCCACGAGAAAACAGACAAATGTACAATGTGTCAAAAACATTACCTGCTAATACTAACAGTACATCCCATCCAATAGTGAGCTCCCATTGGTGGTTCTGGGAATGGGAATGGTTCTTTCAAGTTAGAGGTGTATGTATGGTCAAATTCATCAAGAATGTACTGCACCTGTGCAAAATCCAGATTTTCCATGCTTTTCATCCAATGTTTGGCTAACGTTGCATCAGAATTTTAGATGAGATGTCATCCATGGATACATACTACATGTACATGTACCTTAAAAGCAACGTTCGATTAAGTGCCCTGATCCACCCCCAACAGCAATTATATAGACTGCATAGCACAGGCTGGATGTCTGTTTGAGTTTTCTAGTTTTATAGGGAAACAGTCTTCTCAATTTTTGTTCAACCTACTGTTTAGCCCCACATGTACATTGTACATTGAAGCAAAAGAATTGAGTTGGCATGTTGGCAGTGGCAAAATTTTGAAGCAACATGGACCAAACATCCAACAAAAATTTTAAAAAGCCATAGCATGTTTTGCACAGGCACAGTACGTTCTACCAAGTTAAACGCACCTGAAAAATTCAGCTTTATCGACCGAGGTTGTTCTATAGTCCATGTTGAGAGAATGTTCCCTCACTAATACATGTAGTACAATGTATGTACCATATTTCCTGTCCAGAACCCGAGCCCTGTACAGTTTTGGGGAGGGCCTGGGGTCGTCGGAGAAGCTGCGGGCCATCAACGAGTCGATGCGGGCTGCGGCAGCGGGCAAGAGAACCTCCCCGGGTCAACCCAGGTCACAGAAGAGACTCAAGTTTGATGCAGACTCCACAGACACAAATGGGTACTATATATAATTATATGTCTTGACTACATTTGTCAGTGTATAAAATGTGCATGTGGTTTCAGTGCATGTGGTTTAAATGGCTTTTGCACAAGTTTTAGCGGTGTGTTACACTGCTGTTACAGTGTTTTCAATTGTGATTTTAACCTGATTTAGTCAGGGATCTCGTACGCACACACACGCACGCACGCGCGCACACACACACAAATTCAGGATGGCTAGAACACTGGTGGAAAGTCACCATAACGCCATGTTCTTCCACTCCAGGACCACCACAAAAAGCAGCACAACAAACGGCCATGGCGTGTCCAACGGGAACTCAAGCGAACACGGGAATGGCACGACTGCAGACCTCACTAGTGTGACCCGGTCAGCATGGTCACTCAGCACTGCCAAATCACCCATCAAAATCACCAGACAATCACCAAAGAAATAGGTGAGAAATCTTAATAGAAGAAATAGGAGCTAGATTAAGTTGAAAAGTGTTCATATTCGCATATTTAAGGATGATATTCCTTCTGTAGTTTTAAAATGTTGTGTCGGAAAAGATATCCAACGAAAACGTGAAAAATCTGGGTTTCGCATAGGCACAGTACATCCTGCCGATGTGCTAATGTCTGTAATTACAAGTCATGTACAATGTATAATTTTTAGATTTTACTATGAGATTCAGTAACTGTGATTTTTTTTAATTGAATAATTGATCTTTAAGAAAAGTTACATGTACTATGTGTAAGGAATTTTGGAGTTAAATAGATCTGTAATCATTATACAACTGTTGTTTATTTTTTGTTTCAGTGTTGGAACATCACAAGTTCAATGTGGCACTCCTTGATGAAAGACTGACCTAAAACATTGTAGAACATGCTGAACTACTTTAATGTACATCCTTGACTTCAGTTGCACTTTGTCAGTGTTGGTGATTGTGGCTGTCTGATATTCTGACCAGTATGATTTTGTAAAAAGTTTCTTAAATCAAGTCTTCTAATTTACTGATAATTTTTGTAAGAAAACAAAAAGGATTTTTCTGTCTTGTATGTGTGAACGTTTATTCTGAATGTTGTGCCATATGTATTGTATGTTTAGACTTGTAGCAAATTATTGAGTTTGTAAGCTAGATTTTAGACACTTAGGCCACACCAATTTAATTTCTTGGTTAACGGATTTTTCTAGAAAAATAATGGAGCGGGCGGGCGAAAAATAAATAAAAATAAAAACAGCCCTAGGCATCCTATCATGGCCCAAAATGGTACGATAGGAGCCATAAAGTCAACACACCAGGCTGGTTCAAAATTTAAACAATGAATTTTGATTTTGATTTGATTTTATTGATACCATTGCATTGAAAGATGGAACAACTGTAACAACTAGGATGGAAAGGACTGTTATCAACTGTTCAGGGCAAAAGATGAGCATTTTGCAGTTGATTCTGAATTTTTATTTTTATTTGCAAATCAGAAAAAAATGCAGCGGCGAATCTGTTAACCAAGAAATTAAATTTGTGTGGCCTTAGTTGCTGTTTTTACTTTTAGCATGTAATTTACACGTATTGGATGGCTTGTAGGTTTTATGATAGTTTTATCAGAATTTGAACTTTGTTTGACTTTAATCTTAAATGCAGTAACTTTTTTCCATTCATATTTCCTCAAACTTCATTTGTGAGCCACATACACTATATTTTTGTACTGCAGTTGATACTGCTGTTCTTGAGAAAGATACATGTACATGTACATGTATAACCATCATCTGTTTCAACTTGACCTTCACTGCTTTGTATCCCTTGTGTGAATGACCAATCAGTGATCATTGACATTCATTTTATCCATCTTGGCACACAACAGATTGAAAGCATGTTTACACTAAGCCATGTCAAGGGAAAAGTAACCTGAAGATTATTCCATTTTCAAACTTCAGGGGGGCTAGCTGTTAAAGATTTTTTTTGAGGGATTTTAAGACTTTGGGATGCTTCAGGGTTGTCTACTAACCACCCCTCAAGTGCTTGAAATGGAGTAGTCCTGTTTCCAAACAAAGTTTTCTAAATTGCTATTTTGACTTAGAGATTGTAATCTCTCCATTGTAAATGTTATTTGAAGACTTTCTGTTTTATAACATTACCTCTGATAATGTAAAAATCCCAGGGCCTGCAATTATTCCAGATATCAGTGACAAAAGTAATTTCACCTGTTATTATGTGCCCAGTGAAAACAATCCAACAGACAGTAAGATACATTATGTTGAACCTGTAGTGGTTACAGATGTTCAAATGTTTCAGTTCTGTTTGGTCTTGGAAAGAATTTAGAAATTAGATACAGATATCTTGATGACGTACTTGTTGATTATGTTCTTACTACAGTTTTTAACTGTGGTTCGTGTGGTTTAAGATAAGAATGACATTCCTTACTTCAGTACTTTTTCCTGTTTGTAGTTTCTGTAAGTTTTGGATGAAGAATGTTTGCAGGAATAAAGAGTTTCCTGTTATTTCTGTGTCTTGTGCGTGTGTGACTTGGATATTATTAGTAGTGTGCATATTTGAGTATGCTGGGTTCAGACAAGGGGTTCAACATTCGCTTGTTTGGCCTGGATAAAAACTACGTTTTCATAGAACACAGGCGTGTGAAGGTGTCAGTGACCTGTTTGTTACAAAACAGTTACTCTTAACATTGCAGTTAAGTGTGATATCTGAAAGTCTCAGCAGTCCTTGTGATAATCATGACTGTTATTATATTTCAGTCTATACCACGGTATGGATGAAATATATTGTGTTCTCTCATGTTTCTCCTCCTTCTCCTGCCAAACAGTCAAAGGGATTCAACTCCGCCATCATTCAGCCAAATGACTTGAAATTTGGCATGGAGGTAGAGTGGGCCAATACCCCCAGGTTTTTGGGGGCATTTTTTGACAAAAAATGGACTTTTGGATCCTGATCCCTGGTATTACAACTACAAATGTAAATGATCTGAAATTCGGTATAACGGTACATGTACCTTGAACGTGTGTCTACAGAATAGCAGTCACATATTTGGCATACACCACTTGTAAATGACTCATTTAGGGGACTTTAATGGCTATTTCAGGCAAAAAAAGGGCCAAAAGTGATGTACCCGTTCCACGTTCTATCTAAAGAATGGCCCGTTCCATCTGCCGTTGGCCATGGAACACGTGTTCCATTGTGGGTTTCCTGAGGTCACATTGCATGTAAGTTGTGCGTAATGACCCACACATTCAATTTTATGTGCCTAAGACCTTCAAAATGTATCAAGTCTCATCATTGTTGGTATTTGCATACCTGTAATAAGATTAGTAAAGCTTTTGAGATTCAAAGTGCTTGTTCTTGCATCTTTGTTCTCAATTACATAGCTATTATTTAATTCATTTATTTGAGAACCTTTGCCAGTTTTACACTGGGGTAAGTTTGGAATAGTCCACTTTTGCCTGGGATTTAGATGGACTGAAATATGCTGTATTTGCTCCCGAGCAAATGTCAGCCTTTCTAGTTATAATTAAAATTTCCAGAGGTTTGGAATCACCAAGAATTCCCTTCTTTGTACATACATGTATGTTGGCATACTAGTAGTCTGCTGTGTTCAGGAAGAACTTGGTTTTAAAAGTTTGATAGTGAAAAAATGAAGACACAACAACAAGCAACAACAAAGAAACAAAGTCTTTGATAATGTAAAAGCTCTTAATAATATATTTCTTACATAAAATTTCATACAATTGTAAAACATAATGTAGGCCATAGTAAAGTTCTAGTAAATTACGATACATCAGTTGTTTATGATTAAATGTTTCTATCACTGGTAGTTATGTATTAAGCCCCCTCCACCAAATGTAATGTCTTCAAATGATGAACTTACATGTTGATGTCACATTTTCAGTTTCAAACTAGACCTTTACAATTATTACTGTTTAAGGTCAAATTGCAATGTAATATCACAGCTCATTTTCCCTCTCAGTGCTCTCATATTAGATTGTAGAAAGTTTTTTTTTCCATATTTACCACATGCACATTTCCAAAATTCATTCTTATTCACTATTCCTTTACATGAAAAAAAAACAAAACAATTATTTTGACTACTTAAATTAAAGAGCCCGCATACATGTACCAGTATTATGGAATACATTGTACCTCCACTACTTCAAAGGAAGCTAAAGCCAACAAATCTACGTGTACATGTAGCTCAGTGCACAAAATATGTATATTGCATGTTACACATATAACCAGGTACATTTACTTGCAATTAACCTTCAGCCACATTTGCCATCAACTTATCCATATCAGAACTGTAGTTACATGTACTAGTATGTATAGCAATGTAGTCAATGTGGTATTAATTTGCTATGTACTAATATCTGGATTATCCTAACATTTCCTTAATCTTTTTGCTAATCTGGATTATCCTAACAATTTTCCTTAATCTTTTTATCTATTTGCTATTGTATTGTAATGTAAAGTAAATAACAACTACAGAAACAGAGTATGATTGGTAAGATCCTAAACAAGCAAACAAAACAAGTAGCATGAGCTGGACATTTCTGATGACTGACAATTTTTCAAGCTTTAATTTTTGCCTGTCTTATTTTTATTACACTCAGACATTTAACTAACTATAGCACTGCCAAACTGAATCCTTTTTTGAAGGCCTTTTTCATTTCTTTCATAATTTCACATAATTCAAAACTTTTTTCTATATTAAAGTACATGTAAAATTATATGAAACACACAATTTGAAGCAAATCCATCATTAACCTTATACATATAAAATGTTTTGGAACTCCTCCACTAACACGAGACACCCCCTCCTCCACCCTGGGACTGGTGTAAGATGCTGTCTCACATTGCTTTACAGTTACACGTTTGTTTTTCCATGAAATGCTAGGAAGTGACCATAATGATGTCAAAATTGACAACATTTGCCCGATGTCTGGCTTTCCAAGATCACTCCCAGGCAATCATCATAGAAAAAACCAACTTAGGACCAATCCATGGGCTGTTCAGGTTCTGGCCATTCTGCATCACTAAGATCTTGGGGAAATATTTCACGAAACAAATCTGGCTTGTTTTGCTTGAGATCACGATAGATGGCAGTCATTCTAATCCCTTGTTCCAGTACACTTTTGGATCCTGAATACAAAGGATAGCCACAGGTATGCATAACAATTAACTTTCCATTCTGGTCAAAACCTGGCGACCCAGAGGAGCCGTGAGCAAAGTCAGTCCTGTATGTAGCTCTTGCGGGGTCTGATACCTTTGAGTAATCAGCACCCCCTGTTGGATTTGGGTTGAACATCAAATAATATATTACTTCATTATATTTTGAATTGACAATAGGACAGCGTATAGCAAATGTTTTTGGATCACCACCAGGGTGTCCAATAATTGACACTCTACTTTTCTTGGTAGTTGGCCATATTAACGATTCTAGGCCTGGAGGAAACTCAGAATCGTCCAGTGGCTCCAGCTCAAGAACACTGTAATCCAACTCATTGTGACTGTGCCTGATTTCTTGAATTTTGCACCTTTGGTAGTCATTGGAACATTGCTCTATGTAGTTAAATACCACAGAGGCACCACTGCAACTTCCAGTCGACAGGCCCGCCATGTTTGTCACATGACGGTTCGTCAGGACAAACTTTGGGCCCACTCTAAAACATGTCCCATAAGGATGACCATCTTTCAACAGGATGCCTACAGAGTAAGCATAGCTCATAAATTTCTGCATAATTACAAATGGGGTCCCCTTAGTGGTATCTACGAGGTATTCCTGCAAAAATGGTTTGGCAAACTTATCCAAATTATTCCTCCTCATTGTTTCTTTTCTTCCCTTTGCAGATGTTTTTGGTTGAAGGTCTAAGCCCAATAAATCAGTAAGTGAAGACTGCCATTTATTATATATCTCTTCCATAATGTTGTTTGCCAGTGGACTTATGTTCCCTACTTCAGGTGTGGGACCACTGTTATCAAGCCTCTCATTTTGAGCAGGACTTTCCGCCCTAGGGCTACAAATCCTGCTTTCACTAGAGGGGCTGCCGTCTACAGTGTGATCAATTGGGACATTGTTATGTTGTGGGGCAAGCGCCTCTTTCCAAACATTATCAGTAACTTCTGGGCTAGCACCGACTGAACAAACAAACTTATGGTCATGATGGGAAGTAACCTTATCTGTCAGCTGGACAACGCTGTTATCCTTGTAAAGGAGCTGGCAGTACTTCACCTTGCTAACAACAATCCTACCATCCCTCAGTAGAGCTGATAGGAGTGTGTCATTGGGTAAGCAATCAATAAGCAAAATGCTGCGGTGGAACTTTATTGGATCTAGCTTAGTAATCCACTTGGATTTACTTGTTTGTTCACTTACATCAATGTAAAATCTGCACCTTTTTTTAGACATTATCTCATTAACACGATAGACACTAAGGCCTGGACCAACTTTGAGCTTTGTGTTTAATCTTGCCTTAAACCACCCACCTGCAACAATGCTACAGGGGCTGCCAATGTTGGGTTCCCCTCTAATTTTACTCCTAGCTGTTGGATCAAGGAAGGCCTTTGTCAGGTTATTCTTGATCTCGTGTAGACTTGGTTCATCTTGAAGTGCATCTAGGATACGCTGACTTCCTTGTGCCGTAATTTGTCTATAGTAGCCGGATGGCTTCAGGAAGTCAAACTTCACCTTAAAGGTCACCTCTGAAAATATACATGCGAAAGATCCATAAATAAGTTCATCAGGTTGGTGAATGATTGAATAGTAAAGTTCTTTTTTCACAACAATTAGTGTAAACTAGTCATATTATCCCTCCTGACAGTCATCAAAATGTTAGCTAATGTAAAACATTGTGAACAAGTATTTACATATGTACATCAAGCAGTTGATAAAAATCACCATGCCTAGATTTTGAAGATAAAGTGAACATCACAAATACATGTATTGACTGTGATAAGAATCCAAGTGACAGCACTAATAATAAGCAGGCAAAGAACAGTGAACAAAAGTTTTTCAGCTAGTATCAATTTTAAGTACAGTACAATTGTAAGTTTCAACCTTCAGTCTCTGTGTGCCGATGCTGTGTGTGTGGGGTGCTCTGTATCCCTTCCTCAGCCACCTGGGATGTGGAAGTGGCACCGGCGACACAGCTAGCATCTCCAGTCTCCTCTAAAAGGTTGGGAGAAAAGGACATGAAACAAAGTGCTGTAAAATTTGGAAACTTGCCTTATTCAAAGGTGGTTCAGTGAAACCTTTGCTTCTGGGTAAATTCAAAAATGTATATTATTTATTTACCTCCACAGTACTAGTCCTTTTTATTCTAATCCTTACTCAGAATCAGAACATCAATTTACCTCCAACCTAGAGCTGTGTACCGGTACGCAGTACCGATACTGTACCGGTAAAATTGATTAGGTACAGGTCCAAAATACCTAATCCCTCAGTACCGGTACTGTACCTAAACAATTTCACACCAATTTTATGCCTATTTGTGACCTCAAATGTGTAAATAGCTGGTTAACAATGGGTCCCTGTGTAAGGACAGTGTGTTCATGAAAACAAAAACATATATATAGGCTAATATAGCCTATATTTTATCTGAGCATTCGCCATAAACAAAGAATAAACCTTAACTATCAAGTTTATTTATGTTTTTTATGTTATTGAAGGAGTTCAGAAGAGCATATAAATTGGTCGAATTGTTCAGGTACAGGTTCAGGTCCGGACCTGTACCTAAACCTGTGTACCTGTACCTGTACCTGTACCTAAAATTTGTTTAGGTACACAGCTCTACTCCAACCTCTATCTATGTTTTTAGTCCTTTGCTCAGTCCCCTTTCCTGTGTATTTTGGGATCTACTTTGTCTTTTGCTTCATATTTCATTTTGCTGCATTTTGCACTTTCTGAGTTATCACTTCTCAATGTTTTTCTATCTATTTCTGTATTCCTGAGTTACTGTACACTGTGACTGTGAGTGTGTTTTAACGATTAATGCTCCTTCACTAATCTGATAATCACATTAGACCTAGGAAAAAAATGTTGTGTTTCTTGTTTCCTGCCCGTAGAAAAATCTGAAATTGAAAATATAAGTGTCCTCATGCAAGTTTCACTATGTTTAACAATATAATGCATTAGTCGTACAACTAGAGATCATTAAATTCAAAGTCTATAAAAAAAAACCTACCGACCTTATTTTTTCAGGACTGAAACAGGAAACACTTATTTTCCTTGGCCTCACCGTTTTGATATTATTCCCGTTTTTTTCTGCTTATTATCTCTGAGACTGCTACCAAATATAAATTTGTTGCATTCTGCAAATAATTTGCAGAATTTCTGTATAACGGCCGTTATTAAATACAAAGTCATGTAAAGAATTTCTTACCTTTGCAGTCAGTCTTTTCGTCCATTTTGTAGGCTTAAAACTTGTGGAATTTCAGTCAATCTACAGGGGAAAGGCAAGCCACAATATTCAGTAGTCGTAGGCTGATTAGCCCTTTTCTAATGTAGAGCGTACAAATTTTGACTAACTAGTACATGTTTATATGACTGTGCCCCCCTCCCCACAAAAAATTATATCGTAAAGATTTTCTTTCTCTTTTTCTTCATTCATTTTAGGTTAAAAATGGGCCTTAATTTAAGTTTCCAGCAATCAAAGTAGTACACTTCATGTATATGCACAAGATATCTGTAACGTTACCTGGAAAAAGAAGAAAATACCGTTGTTTTGAAGAGCCCAACAACAGCGATCTCCTCTCAGCGGTGAACAAAAAGCGCGCCAAAAAGCGTCACCTGATACTGGATCTAGCCAGTCAGAGAGAACTAGTCTCGGGCGAGGTCGTACCATTCTACGCTAGGGGACAATGGTACTAGAAATATTATTTGACTAATCGATAAGGTGAGTTGCTTTGATTATACATTATATGGATGTCATGGATATTTGTATTTTTTCAAGATAAAAAGGATTTGAACCATACTACAAATCAATTGTACAAAGCAGCTACCAATGAGTTTCTCTCTTTCCCTGCCATTTCATGGATTCATCTTCTCGACTTTGGGGCGCGAAGTTTGTTGTAATGTGCCGCTTACTTGTCGTTCATCTTGCAACTGTTAGGTGGCACTTTTCAAATGTTCACTTCTTTCCACTGCTGCACAATGAATGACGATATAAAAACCACTTCAGAGGTAGATGCATGTATCAGTTCGTGCAGGTGTATGTTTGAAAATGTATGGCTTAAATAATCATTGAGGGAAATTTATAAATTGGCTGCATTTCATGATACATGTTATATTTTTGGAATATTCAGTGGCATGTAATTGACAACAAGAGGCAAGAGGACCATTTAATATAAATCTGTAGTAATGAATTATTAGAATTTCATTGTATTAGTTGTGGCATTTAGAAGTTACATATTAAGGACACATTTGCATATAGTTGTTGAGAAAGTGCTGGAATAGACTTTCATTGGATATCTGATATTTTGATGGAGAACATGATCAGCAGACATTATTCATACATGTGATCTTATTTGCATTACCTATGAGAAAGATAATTCATGACTCAGAAAGGCTAATAGCATAAGGTCATGGAACTCTCGTTTGGTACTAGTATGTAAGTTTTTCTTTTATGCACTGGCTTGATTTCTGACAAAATTATTTCCTTATATATAATAGACTAGGTTATATTTTTGGTAGTGTTTGGATTTATGTTTATATGGATGTATGTACTATGTACGAGTGCATGGATGAATGGCTGGATATATTTATGTGTATATGTACGCATGTGTATCTATCATGGCTTGTGTATGGATGGATGGATTGTTTGGATGATTTTGTCCCACCACAATAAAAAATCTCAAGCTTTTCTTGTTATCACGTTGATTACAACTAACTTCAGAAGAAACAGACAACACCATCTTGAATTCTGCTCGCTCAAAGACAAATTTTATTTCAACCACAAGATTACAGCGTTGGCATGACTACATGAGCCAGTGGTTAGGGTACAGGTGAGGGGAGCACAACTCACTCTGGTGCTCAGAACCATCTATTTATTATAATATATCTCTGTCGTCTACCTACATGTACCATCATGCCAAGTACAAGTCACATGGCCCTACATTGGAGCTGTATGAAGTACACTTGAGAGGCAAAACTAAGATGTGTGAATCATGGCACAAGCAGACATCATCGAATATTACTCCAACAAGGATTTTTACACAGGCTTCGATTTATCTACTGTTGGTGACTTTGGCAGTTATAATAATAAGCAGAACATTATTACATCATACTCACAGAATTATTACATTTTCCTAATATATTACATAAGTGGATGATCATAAATCATGTCTTCAGGTTATCCGTATTGAAGAAAAACAACCTCAAAGTTGGTTGCTGGTTGTGCTATACAGTGTTTCCAACTGAAGGGTTTCTTAGAAATAGATGGAGCTACACACAGTGTGTATGGTACCTGGAATTGACTAGTTTGCACCTAATATACAGATATACTGATACCCTTTATTCCAGACCCCATTCACAATGGTTACCTTTCCATTTCTAAATATTAGATACTTTCCAAATTCTTCAGTATCAGAAAAGCCTTGGTCACACTATGGGCTTGAAACAAAATTAAGAAAACTGCAGAATGTTTAGAGACTAGTAGTACATGATTTCTTTTTTGTCAGCCAATTTGAAAGCGAATACTCAGATCCCTCTACAAGTCAGAATAGCAGGTAAAATAGTTTTCATTGACAAACTAACTGTTCTCTTGATATCAGTGACGCTAGATCAGCCAACTTCTAAAACTCTCATTTTAAGCACAGGTTTTTAGATCTCGGTGTTAGAAACAAAACAAGGCAGCTTTGGCAAAGTATGTACAATGCGAGCAAGCAGAATTAGTTAAGGGACAAAGATCACTTCTTCAGGTTGGCTCTCACATTTTATCATGGACCGATACAACTTGTGTCGAGTCTTCTTCTTGTTAAAGTCACCCAAAGCAATTTCGCAGCAGTAAAAATGGACTTTCAAAGTCAATTTTCTGGTCTTTTTTCTAATGTACTACCGAATGAACCCTTTTCCATAGCAAAATGATATCTGGGTCAAAATTTGATGCCACTGACGTGATTGTTGATGTAAATCTTAGGCTGGTTCTAGCTATTTATTGGTGGCGCCAAAAAATAAAGGGGATATCTCATGTAGTTTGTTTTTGGGCTACTTTAAAGGCTTTAAGTATGAATTTTAGGATGAGAAAGATGTGAAATAGTAGTAATTGTCATTATCAGACAAATTTTCTCAACTAGAATCCTTTTACCTCGATGAAGGTTAGACATCCAGGTAATACGATACGCCAAAAAACAGTTACTCAAGCAACTGGATATGATTTCTAAAATACA